GAATAGAATAGAATAGAATAGAATAGAATCTGGAAGGGACCTTGGAGGTCTTCTAGTCCAGCCCCCTGCTCGAGCAGGTGAATCTATCCCAGTGGTGGCGAGGCGGCAGTCAGAGTCCTCTCTGTGGGCACGCGCGCCATCGCCTCAGTCCTAGGCCTTCAGCTGGGTTTTATAAAACCTTTTCGCTTTAGGTTCAATCAATCAGTCAATTTCAACTTCTTGCGGGAAAAAAAAAGATCTTGCAAAGTTGGAATTGATTGATTGAACTTTTTAGTCCCACCCAGTCTGCCGTTACCACCACAGCCACGCCCACCCAATGGGCCACACCCACCCAATGGGCCACACCCACCCGGCACTCGATGATGCATAAGTGGGTTTTGGGTTGCAGTTTGGGCACTCAGTCTCTAAAAGTGGGAATAAAGAAGAGACAGAGGTCCTAATGGAATACAGGCCAGGGGAGACTTGTGTGTCCAAATCCTGATTAACTCGTGATGCTCAGTTGTGTATCCTTAGTCCAGCTACTGTTCCTTCGCTTCACCTGGCTTATGGCTTTGCTGCAAAGTTTACAGGAATCCAATATTAAAATCTAAATGGATTTTTACAATATGATGCCCACTTGATGCCCTGGGACTACAATTCTCATCATTCCTAGCCCAGCTTAGGCTCTAGGGATTTTTTGAAAAAAAATGGCTGTTTTGCAGCATCTCAAAAAAAAAAAAAAGCTAACTTTGCTTACTGCAGGAAATTGCATGTTTGGCAGTAACATTTCTTATTTTTCTTTGAAAAGATTGCAGTGTCACCGGAAACTCCATTGATTACAAAAAATAAAACAAACACACAACTGTCTGTATACAAATTGTGTGCGGAGGAGGGCTTGCTTCAATTAACATCTGGGCTGACTTTTATTTATTCAGTGGAAGAAGGATAAAGAAGCAAGCTTAAGGAACAGAAAAGGCAGGATCCAAAATGTATCTGTAAACCACAAAATTATCATCCTCATTTTAGTGCATTTTAGTTCCAGCAACTGCTTGAACCCAGTTTACAAACCTTGAAGTTCTCCAAGTTTTCTGATCTCTTCCTACTGGGTGTTGCTGCTGTTTTGGCTACTTGAAGATCCACCTTCCCATTTATTAAACCTTTGGAATCAGACGCTCCTGAAATGTATAGTTCAGTGTTTGGCACAAACCCAGAAAAGAAATGAACTCAGTAACTAGATTAAATCTGTTATGCAAACACCATCATTAATCTTGCTAAGGCATAATAAGCGAGCTTTCTCCACCCCAATGTCTTACAGGAGAGATGGTGTTATGCTGCAGAACGTGATATTAAAGAAGGATGAAGAAGAGCATCCCTTCAGGTGCAAAACATTAGGACCTTTTGTAAGGTTGCACCATATTCAAGCCTATACACAAGAATCTGGTAACTAAACTTCAACATTAAATTGGCGTCAGATCAAGGTCAACAGAATTCAAGAGGAGTTGGATTTGGAGCACCATAACAACTCTAAACTGATGACGTGCTTAACTCTGCCCCCCTCTCCCTCAACTCTGCCTGGTCTTCTCTACTCACTAAAAGTACTGAAGCTTGCTCTTACATTCACCATAACGTTCCACATTGTTTACTCCACTTGAATACTCTACTTGGGAAGAGGATGACATCTTGTGGTTGAGGAAAAACACAACATCGTGCATTAACTTTTAACCTTTTCAGATCAGCTGCAGAGACCACCAAATTGTGTGATTTTTGCATGTGTTCACTCTCGTTGGGTGCTCTTGTGCAGTGAAGGAGAATCATAAGCCTGATGCAAAGGGGACATCCCAGGAAACAAAATATGCTAGGGAGTTAAGCTGATATCTGTCTGCGGGATCAGCTTTTGTTACAATACTTTAAAGATTTATACTGGTAGTGGAATAAAGCAGAACAAAAACGTTATTGCGGAGAATGGCTGGTCCATCTGGAAGCAGAAACAACTGAAACTCTGGAGCACGGAGGCTTTGGCCTAAATATCTGTAAAGATTTTCGTGTCACTGCGATTCCTTCCTAACTCAGGTGTGCAGAATGTGCCAAAATATGTCAGCATCCAAACGGGAAGAATTGAAACCCGAGCTGCTTGTGCCTCTGCTTTACCTTCATAAAAATTGCAGTGGGTTTATAGCTTGCCTCCTTCAGTAAGCCTTTTCATGTATATTTGACAAACTTCAGGGCGTCCTTACAGTCATTTCCCCGGAGATTGTGCGGATAACCAAGGCTGATAGGCCACGAGAGACAACACAACAGATGATGCAGAGAGCGCCTGACGGGAAAGCGGTTGTGAGTTCCTAATCGTAACCAGAGTGACTCACCCTCCTTTTAACCACATCTGGCATTCTCTGCCTGCCATTTCCCTCTGCCCTCCCCTTTGCCTGCAGCCACAAAGAAGTTAGGTACCGAACAGCTTGACTAGAGAGTGTCAAGAAAAGTCCCCACCCCAGGAAATCTAATCTAATTTCACATTTCAGTGGTGGAAAGCCTTGTTTACACAGGGAACTGGTGAGCGACGGCCTTGGTGAGTGCACACTATCTTTTTCTCTCTCTCTCGGAGTGCGGGCTGATGTTAAAAAGGGTGGCAAAGGTGAAGCTGGAATACTTGGCTCAGCCTGTAATTGCAGAAATGAAAATTAAAAAAAACAAATCCTAAATCTCAGATTGGCCAAGCAAGGATTTTTTTTTGCAAATAGCTAAGTTGGATGGATTCAGCACTTCCGAGTTGCTTTTCTGTTACATCTCCGGTCTCTTCAACTAAACACTGGAAACATTTGAAAATGTGGCATTTGTTATGGAATGAATTCATTAGTGGAGGGATTATTCCATAAGCCTTCGTCCTTTCTAGAATTAGCCTGGTCTTCTAAAAACAGTAACTTAACCAGCATTGCAAAATATAGTTTCCTCTGCTTCTGATTTGAGCATTTACTTCCTCTATGTTTCCACTGTTAATTGTTAAAGTTCGCAGACGTTTACAAACTGTGGCATGGAATACCTCCGAGCTCTTAATACCGCCATCCTTGTACAAACCTTCAGCCATGATCTCCAGGGTTACCTGAGCAAGGAAGAAAAAAGGGATCCTGTATCTTGATATCTTCTCCTGTTTTATTATACGATAGATCAAATAGCATTCATTAAATTCTATAACTACTAAACAGAAAGAGAGGAGTGAGTTAAGTGAATAAATGATCATAGGACAGTAGCATTGCGCTGGGCAGCTTTTGACTGTAGACCAAGAATTGGAAAAGAGAGAAGAGGGAAGTGATATGCTTATCTATCCATCCGTTCATCCATTCATCCCATTCCAACAAAATGCTCACGTGGGAGATGTTACTTTCTCCATGCCCTGGGAAGCATCCAGCTTTTTAGGATGGGCAAATTCTTGCTTTTCTTCCTCTCCATAAGCTGGCTTTACAAAAGTTAAAACTATTGTTTATCGGTGTGATTTGTTTTCCTGCTGCTTCCCATATTGACAATGGTATCAGTTTGATGCCACAACTTTTCATATATCTTGGAAGGTCACCGCTCCTTGTCATGGGGTTTGGCAGCTTCTTTTTTGGGGAAAGTAAGACTCATAAATTCAATGAACTATACTCACCACTTAATGGAAGTCCTAACCAGTCCTGTTTGTTGTTTCTCACCAGATCTTGGAGTCATGTATACAGCAATCCCCAAAAGGTAAGGAATAATCTTTATTCTCATCCAATCAAAATCCAGTAACCATTTCATAAATAAAGCTGAATATCACAGTAATTATACGATAGGTGGTCTGTATGAGACTGTCGAGTCTTTCAGCTGGGTTTAGATTTATGTTTTACTTTCATAACCATCTGCTACTTTGAAAATCCTTGCTCTGGTTTCAAAAGTGGGGTGTAAATTGAATTAGTGTTAATCATTAGTTAAGGATACAATGCTGCATCTGCTCTCTTGCCCTACGAGAAAACTTTCCCGTCTCTTGTCCGAAACAAGAGTCTTAGTCTGGATAGAGGCCACATACAAATTATCCCCAACTTGCTTGTAATTTCTTTCTTGAAGTTATCCTCTGTAATGAATAATCTTGGAGAGTTGAGGGTGGGGTGCAAATAAAGATTTGGAACAGGAAACCAACAAGGGTAATAATCAGGATATGTGCCATACAGATTCCCAATGACTGGCATTTCTTCAAAGGAAAAATTAACAATGAAAGCATGTTTGGGGGGGGCGAAAGAAAGTTTGAATAATATTGTTTGTTCTTAAAGAAGTAGGTTTGGTTGCATCAAGCAACATTTCCTTGTACTGCAACTGTTCAATCTTGAAATTCTATTCAAGCAAGCAGGCAGGCAAGCAAGCAGATAAAACTGAACATGTAGTTCCTGCTCTCTTGATACTTTTCTTTCGTCTGAATAACAGAATTACAGAATAATAGAGTTGGAAGGGACCTTGGAGGTCTTCTAGTCCAACCCCCTGTTTAAGCAGGAGACCCTATACAATTCCAGACAAGTGTCTGTCCAGTCTCTTCTTAAAAGCCCCCAGTGATGGGGCATCCACAAATGTTCCACTGATTAATTGTTCTCAGTGTTGGGAAATTTCTCCTTAGTTCTAGGTTGCTCCTCCTGGATTTCCCTCCTATGATTGGTGAAGCTTCCCAAAGTTATTGGACTTCAGTCCCATCATTCTTCAACTTTGCCTATGCTGGCTGGGGATTTATGGAAGGACATTCCAGAATGGTATAAGGCCTCTTGCTTGAGAAGCAGGTTGGACTAGAACAGAGCTCCCCAACATTTCCAGCTTGGCGGCCGGAAGGAAAGGGAGGAGCAGAGAAATATGCACGTACGAGGCCTGCGCACACACATGCACAAATGTGTACGCACACGGCACCAGCACTAGCGCGTGCATGCATGCACAAATGGGCCACTGGCACCTGTGTGCATGTGCAAACGGGCCACCAGCACCCACGTGACGTTGGTGGCGGTGCTAGCGCACCTGCACATGCACAAACAGGGCTGCTAGCACCCATGCGGTGGCACTACAACAGGAGGGGGCTCGCCAGCTCTTCCTGTGGCCCGGTGATCAACAGGCCACGGCCCGGTACTGAGCCGCGGACCATAGGTTAGGGATCCGGACTAGAAGATCTCCAAGGTCCCTTTCAACTCTGTTATTCTTAAGTTGAAGTCAAGCCCACTGCAAGGAATCTATCTCTGTTATTCTTAAGTTGAAGTCAAGCCCACTGCAAGGAATCTATTCTAAGGAATCTATTCTTCCTTATCCCATCTCCTTGATACTTGGTTCCTTTTCTAGACATCTGACTTGTCCTGTTTTCTTTCTTCCAATTCAATAAATTCCAACCTTCGCTTTGGTAGCGGCTCTGTCTTTGACACTTCGGCGAAAGAACCAGGACTGCACATCTGGCGTGTGGAGAAAATGAAGCCAGTTGCTGTTCCAGATGAGATGAAAGGCATATTCTATTCTGGCGATTCGTACCTTGTCCTTTATAATGGACCGGATGGGCATTCCAACCTGCATATTTGGATTGGTAAGCAAAGGGTCAAGATAAACCTTAGGTCAAAAAAAAATCTATCTGGGGGATGATGCATTTCTGTAGCTTATTACTGAATAAACCTTATTTGGCTGGATTCATACAATACACGCTTCACAGATCTGAAGGGCTGAGCTCACACAACCTGCTCAACCAATATTAAAGAAGTCATAATAAGGCTTAGTATGTTTTGTAAGCCATTGATGTCTGCTCCAAGGCCAATGTGTGCACTTGAGTGGTGTGATCGTGCAACTGGCAGTACAACGCAACACTACATCCTAGCAAGAATGAAAACTTTTCACCAGTGGCTTATTACCACCAAAATCTGCTTTAATGTAGGATTTTCACCAAGAACCTAACGCAGAAAACCCTTTTTGAGATAGCTGAAGCCGGCTAGGGGCTGCCACTCAAGTGGGTAGAGTTGCAAATTAATGCTGTCTCTTTGTCTTAGGTCAAAACTCCTCCAGAGATGAGCAGGGAGCCTGTGCTTTGCTCTCCACCCACCTCAACTCCATCCCAAAAGAGAAACCAATTCAGTATCGGGAAGCGCAAGGCAATGAATCAGATGTCTTCATGGAGTACTTTCCCCATGGCATCAAATACCAGGTGAAAGGGGACTCGTTTTTCCAGTTATAGGCCTTACTCTCTCTCTCTAGAGCACTGTTGCTAAACATTAGAGCCTCTTAAGAACTTTCATTTAGTTAAACATATGTACCTGTATATATACTCACACAAAGCTCTGCTGTGGAGATAGTAGACCAACCTCTCCTTCAATCCCCATCAGGCTCATGTCAGCCCAGGTGAATCCAGTTGGCTGATATCTTCCCCTTTTTCCTTCTTGGGAATCTGTTCCCTATTTTCTCTTTTTGCTCAATTTCCTTTTCATTATTTCCGCCAAATTTAGCTTAGTTTTTCTTCTCTTGTAAATTGGAGAACAACCATAAGGAAGCTACTTTGATCTGCTCACGAAGATGTTCTGGTTCCTTGTGCCTGGCAGAATCCTCTAAATTCCTAAAAGTTTACAGTTCACAGCCAGCTTACATTTGGTTTATCTTTTTGTTTGTTTTGAGGCAGGTAAGGCACACAAACAAAGTGTAAGTTACAGCTAACCATCATCTTCACTTCTCTTTAACACTCTGCTCCTTCTGTAGCACTAGTATTCCTCTTGGTATCCTGATAATAGCAATAACACTTAGACTTATATACCGTCCCACGGTGCTTTTACATCATTCTCTGAGCAGTTTACAATGTCAGCATATTGCCCTCAACAATCTGGCTCCTCCTTTAACTGATCTTGGAAAGATGGAAGGCTGAATCAACCTTGACTTCTTTCGGGATAAAACTCCAGACTGTGAGCAGAGGGCTCCTATCGTCTCAAAGAGTCTTTCCTGTCCCCATCTTCCTCAAATTCTATCCTCTGTATCCCCATTTCAACCCCAGTTTATGGTCCACAGGAAGGTGGTGTGGAGTCAGCCTTTACCAGAACCCAGGCCAACCATGAGCAAAGCCCCAGGCATCAACTCTATCAAGTGAAAGGAAAAAAGAATATCCGGGCTGTGGAAAGAGAGCTGAGCTGGACCAGTTTTAATACGGGTGATTGCTTCATCCTGGACCTGGGAGAGGTGAGCCTGGAAAGGGGGAAGAGAAAGGAGACATATACTTGCTAGAAAAAGAATATATGTCACAAGAGCATTTGGTAGTGTTCATATGACGTTGTGACTCTTATGTTACCCAGCCATATTGCCCATGTGGTTAGCTTCAATGCATCCTCCAAAACCAATGCATAGCTAAGCTAATGTAGGGAAATTATGGGATCTATTTTCCAAGAAGGATTGCTGTGGGACTCCAGTAATTGTAGATCTCCCAATCGGGCTTTGAAATTCCAAGAATGTCCAGCCAGCTTAGTTAATGGCTGGAGATTGTGGAAGTTGTAGTCAAAACACTCCTATTGAATGTACGGTGGGAAGATTAAAAGGTGGTGATGGCTGGATGTTAGTCAGCCGGTGGTCTATTATAAATTGGACAACAGGTTTCTACTTTTCCTTTTAGAAAATCTTTACCTGGTATGGAGAAAAGTCAAACATTCTGGAGCGCAACAAAGCTCGAGATTTTGCAACAGCAATCCGAGACGCTGAGAGAAAGGGCAAAGCCAGAGTGGAGATAGTTGTGGACGGGGAAGAACCAGCTGAGATGACAGCGGTAAGATCTTTGTGGAGTACAAAGAACATAAAGGGTAGATGCAAATTAGTATCTAGGTTGGCTGATCTCCCACCAGCTCCTTTCTATATGTATTGGACCACAGCTTTCCTGGGATTAGGGGAGCTGTAGAATTCAATTTGAAAAACTATTTAGGATCAGAAGGCTGGATTAGAAGATGGCAAGGAAAGGTGTACAAAGTGTCTCTAAAAACGTATGAAATATTCTTTATCCCTGCATCACTGAAACATCTGGCAAGGACTTTTATACAGAGATGGGTCATGGGAACAAACGTTGTTGTTTTAGAGTAATTCACACTCCTGGTCCATCCAGAACAGGACTAGCTATATCAGGAATGCTTGACTTTTTCACACCAAGAATTACATTTCAGTGGTTGACAGGGTCAGAACCAACTTCCTGGCTAGTAATCCAGGAATTGTAGACCCCAAACTGAAAGACACATCAATACATTTCTGATGCACTTCTGTTGCACATGGATGAAGAAGTACTTTCTAGACAGGGATATGTTTCTGGCAGCAGCTGCATGGCAAACACTGAACCTGAGCTGGACCACGTTAAGGTGTAGCACTGAGGTTCCAATTCAGGAAGGACTCGGCTGCAAACAAATATTGCCATGATCCATTTTTCTAGGTACTGGGTCCGAAGCCGGTTCTGAAAGAAGGCACTGCTGAGGAAGATATTGTGGCTGATCAGAAGAATGCTATTGCAGCAGTATTGTATAAGGTAACAACCAAAAAGAAACTTGCATTTAAGTTGGATGGGGTCTCCAGGAAATTGTTCTCTTGTAGGCATCTTCTGAGACCTCCTTCTCCCTGTTTGACAGGGAAACCTATTAGCTGGTGGTTGAACATTTGAATCTGCAATCTAACTATCTGCTTAATGAACTGTAATGCCCCAGTATGATCCTACGCTGGACATTGTGTGCCTTTAAAAGGATGGGTAGCCACAAAGTCCATGATGCCACTGGAATGAGAAGGCTTGCTGATGTCTTCCAGGCAGCCCTGCCACACCACAAAGCATTAAGTTCACAAGCCAACCCCAACAGAAAATAAACCCAAATGACTTTGTCTGTGTCATTTACTTGCTGCAATTTTTTGACTGTGGGTTGGATGTGTGTAAACGCACATTCATCTTGAAAATGTGGCAATGAAAAAAAAAAAGAGCTGTTTTCTAAGATTAGCTGAGCCACCTTTGTTTTTGGCTCACTTTTGTTGCATCTTTGTGAATTCTGGGGGCATTATGAGGACCCCCAAGATTATCTCCAGAGGCAGATACGGGGATTCCATGTGTGGTAGGACTCAGTTTCAAGCGAGTGTACTCATTATGTCCTTTAAAACCATTAAGCCCAGTGACTATAATTGATCTAGGTATACCATAATGCACTGAGATCTGAGATCCTGGCAGCAGCCCAATCAGGATTGCTCAGTGCAAAGATTCTTTTGATATAAATTTGTCTAAACCCCCCCCCCCCAAATTCTACTATAGCTCTCAGAATTCTCAGCTGTTTACCACACTGATTCGAAGGCTTACTTTTCTGATAATTCTGTAGAATATGAAATTAGGGAACGCTATGTTAGAGAACAGTCTTGCTTCTAAGTATTTTCTGTCCACAATTTTTAGCTGCGAACAACTGGATCAAAGGTTCCATTGAGGTCTTTTCCCCATTATATTAAGCTGTTAGAAGTTCTGGGTGCATTAATTCAGTTTTAAAATGGAGTCCAACATGTAGGAAATACAGAATACAGGAAGGAATGGGCTCCATGCTCAGGCATTTTACACTTTTTCCAGGTTTGGTGGATGAGAAAATTCTGCTTTTAAAAGTGCACCACAAACCTCAAAAGCCTGACATCTACCCTGTGATTATTGGATTCCATTAAGTGTCGTAAATTCTATCTTCTGAATTCTGAGGTCTCTGACATGACGGGGAAAATGAGTCTGACTAAAGTCTCCGAATCCAGTCCATTCCACCAGGACCAGCTCATTACAGATGACTGTTTCATCCTGGACAACTGGCAGTATGGAAAGATCTTTGTTTGGAAAGGTAATGCCCATCATCGGTTGCCTTGGGGCCTTCTCTGGGACCATAAATACAAAGTATATATATGTGCAGCCAAGAGTTGCATCAGTTGAAAAACCTCTACACTGGAAGACATGCTGATCAATGTCCCTCAAGTCATCAGCTTCTATTTATTTATTTTTCCTGCCATCACCACCACCTCTTTCTTTTTTCTTTGCATTAATTTCTATAGTGGTTAAGGTATTGGACTAGTAATAGGGACACTCAGATTCAAATCCATCTTCAGTTATAGAAGATCTCTGGATGAATTTGGGTGAGTTTCTTTTGTAGGGAATGGAAGAAAATAAAGGGAGAGGATACTATGGGTGCCACCACCTTGAGCTGTTAAATGAAAGATGGGACAGGGAGGAAGGAAGGAAGAAAAGGAAAGAAGGAAGAAAGGAAGAAAAGGAAGGAAGGAAGGAAGGAAGAAAGAAAAGGAAGGAAGGAAGGAAGGAAGGAAGGAAGGAAGGAAGGAAGGAAGGAAGGAAGGAGGGGATTGTTTTGCCTTTTCATCTGCATATAAGCAGATACACTTATACTTAGATGACGGGCAATAATAGACGTTTCTCTTTTATTGAAAGGACTACCTTGGCTCTTGTAATCCAGCGCTGGCCAAGGTCATTCTCCCAGCTCTTGTAAATTATCATCCCTCTTCCTGTCTGTCTGCAGGCCTCAAAGCAAATGAACAAGAACAACAAGCGGCTCTGAGAGTAGCAGAAAATTTCATCTCACAAATGAAATATCCTCAGAACACTCAGGTAAGGATCCCTCAAGCTTGGGCAAACCATCTTCAAAGTGCCCAGAAGGTTTTCATAAAAGAATGACACACCTCCACTGACCGGTTCAGAGAAGGTCTCGGATGAAAAGTCTGGAGAACAACAGCAATGTCGTGGTGCAACTCACACATCTGAAGAGTTCTTGAAGAGAAGTGGACAAGGATTTGTTCTCTGCTTCTTTTATTTCTCTCCACATCTCACCTGCTTTTAATCTGGTTCCAGGTACAGATCCTGCCCCAAGGCCGTGAAAGTCTGCTCTTCAAACAATTCTTTACAAACTGGAAGTGAAAGCTGGAGTCTCCACCTTATGCTGGCAATACTCTGTGACTGTGCCTTTCTGCCCCATCAACAATTCAAGCCTTATTAAATTGGAGCCACTGTGTCCATCTTGCCTTCTGCTTTTGACCAACCCCCTTTAATTAGCATCTCTGCATCCGAACCATGGATGAAACCTTCTGTTTCCTACTTCAGTCTTCAGTATTGTGACAACAGTAGGGCAGGAGTCTTCAAACTTGGCCCTTTTATGACTTATGGACTTCAGTTCCCAGAATTCCTGGCTGGCTGAGGAATTCTGGGAGTTGAAAGATGGGTCAGGAAGGAAGGAAGGAAGAAAAGGAAGAAAAGGGCCAAGTTTGAAGACCCCTGCAGTAGGGCAACCTTAACTAGAGGGATTCTCTCTCTTAATTTTTTGACCCAGTTCCTCCCAATTGTAAGCCTCTTTCTCTTTACGTCTAGAATAAGATAGGTAATGCAACATTCTCGTCTCTACTGGAAATAGAACATTTTGATGTGAGTTAAGAAAAGTCTGTGGCTGGGTTCACACGTTGCCCTGAACCAAAACCAAACCAGTCGCATTCATGGGGTGCAAACCCAACCTTACACAAAATGTGCTGATTATTACTATCTAATGATAGCTTTACTTCCTTGCTTGCCTCATTAGCTGTATTCGGGCCTTTGAGCCATACCTTTTACGGAATTATACCTTTCCTGTTTTCACATAATAGATTGAATCACAAACTAACTAAAGAGGCTGGGTTTGACCCACCCGCTGCCTTAATCCTAACCAAGTTTTGTTTGAACACACCTGTCAGGTTAGATGTGTTGTGTAAACATAACAATGGGGTTTTTTCATCTCCAGGAACAGCATGCAATAGATAAAAGAACACCTAAAGTTATATAATTTCATGCTGGCTTTAATAACTTCCCTCCTTTTCCCATAACCTCTGATTTTGTGTCTTTCTCCCCACCTGGAACCCAGGGAATACCCCCATCACCCTGGGTGGGACAAGAAAGATAAGTAGCAAGGGGAAGCAGATGTCCCACAGGGAGTCTATCTTTTTTGCCGGAAGCAAGGACCGAAACTTGTCTAGTCTCCGATATGTTAAGTTGCCATTCAAGTCTATGATCTGTCAAAAGTTGCCTGGTAGGTTGGATCTGGCTCCATCTGTCATGCCTGCTTTAAACAACAAAAGCCGTGCTCTTATATCCACCCTGCAGGCATTCATCATCTTTCAATCATCATAGGCTACCGTGAAGCCATCTTGATTAACTGACAGGCCCTGACAAGCAAGATTGCATCCTGAAGGAGTCATTATCAAAAGCGGCAACTCTTTCCTGCTTTAAAAAAAAAAGGGGGTGGTGGAGGGGGGAAGACTCACTGCTTCCTTCCCAGAACAGCAAATCAGATCTGTGACTAAACAAGTTTCACCAGACCATCTTTGGCCTCGGCGGGAGAACTTTTACAACATAAAAATAATTGAGCAGGTAGGGAGAAGATATCTTTGGTTCCTTCTTTAACAAAAGAGTTCCTTATTTTCCACTTCCTAGAGTCTATGAAAGCTTCTTTTTTTGTCTTGTGATTGGACGTTCTGATTCCCTTAGTGTCCATCTTCCAGCTCCTTTCTTATTTTACAGAAAGGTTGCTGTTTGAAGCACAAGTTCCGACGGGTCCATGTGTAGGCCTTTGTTGCTCTTCCATTCTAGCAAAATGAAGCCGCCACACCTTGAAGGATGGGCAACCTCAGCCTGCACCTCAAGGGCTTGCCACTTTCAGTTTCATCATGAGGGCTCTTTTTGTCCAGCCGCAGATGTGCAGTGTGATCCTCCGAGATACTGCCTCAAATCAAGGTCATAGAGCAGTGGTGGCGAACCTATGGCACGGGTGCCAGAGGCGGCACTCAGAGCCCTCTCTGTGGGCACGTGCGCCGTCGCCCCAGTCCTAGGCCTTCAGCTGGGTTTTATAAAACCTTTTTGCTTTAGGCCTCCACCGCCGTGTACAAAAAAAAAAGGTTCAATCAATCAGTCAATTTCAAATTCTCGTGGGGAAAAAAAAGATCTTGCAAAGTTGGAATTGATTGATTGAACTTTTTAGTCCCACCCAGTCTGCCGTTACCACGGCAGCCAAGCCCACCCAATGGGCCACGCCCTGCCAATGGGCCAGACCCAGCCAATGGGCCACGCTCACCCGGCACTCAACGATGCATAAGTGGGTTTTGGGTTGCAGTTTGGGCACTCGGTCTCTAAAAGGTTCGCCATCACTGTCATAGAGAAATACATAGGGCAACCCAAGGTCAATATTCCTCACCCGCCCTAGGCAAGTCCTTGCAGGGTCAAGACAGCCAAGGGCAAAATATTGAGCAAGGTGGAAGAAATGGCAGAAAAAGCAGCACAAAAACACACACGTCCCTCAACCTCCAGCTGAGGTCCTCGGAAGTTGGGTGGAAGTCTAACGCCCAACGAAGGGCTAGTAGGCATTATCCTGAGAGGCTCAGTGGTGCAATCCAGCC